AAAGAAAAAACCCCAAAAACGAATAAATGTGCCATTCCACAATTTCTTAATCTAGAACCTGATCTGAGAACTTTATAAAGCTTTATAAAGCTTTGTTATCCTGCCATATTTTAACTCACCACTGTTCCTTTTATCCTCTCAGAGACCTTACCGAGCGTCTCGCCACTAAGTGGTCAATGCTGCGTGGGTGCAGTGCATCAGAGTGTGTAAGAATATACCTAACTGTGGCTCGGAAATGGCCTTTGTTTGGAGCCAAGCTCTTCAGTGCCAAGGTAACAAAAAAAAGTTGAATACATCTCTTGTGTTGTTTTGTGACTGATGTTATTCTATGTGAAACTTTATCGCCTCCTGTTTGTCTAATCAATCTTTAAATGTCGGTCTTGATGTGATTCTTCATCAAAACCAAAAAGCATACTTAGATCATTTTGACTGAACCATACCAAAACCTTGAACTAAGCTTTCAAGCCCAAACCTGTTTGAGACGAAGCTGTATAACATCTGTAAAACGACCCTTCTTTGTTTCCCCTGTCCACAGCCTGTGCCCCCCTCTCCTATTGAGCAGAGCCAGGTGTGGCTGGCAGTCAATGAGGATGGATTGTGTGTGCTGGACTACACAATGGTGAGTTTCAAGCTGAGCAGACCATCCTGTCATGTGTTTTCAGAATAAAATCTGCTGCCAGAACAATTTAGAATTTAGAAAGTCCATTCTTTTATTGAATTTCCGGCTTGACTTTATAGCTGTTAAATCTAGAGATAGCTTTTAACTGCTGCAGCAGCTGGATAGGACACAGCTGCAAAGCTTTCTTGACCCACTGGTCTGGAATGATTTTCGTTCTGTGGTGTTTCGAACACCAGAAATCCCAAGGAAAATAAAACGGCCAGCCTCTGAATTCACATACTTGACCCTGACACACAGCAGTTCCAACATGTAAACTATGCTAACGTGAGGTCTGTAATTTTCTGCAGCTCATGTTGATCCATTTCATTCTTGGTCTGGCGTGCAGACCATGTGCCTTCAGAAAGAAATGGGAGAAAACAAAGTGAAAATCAGAATAAGTTGCTGGAAATTATGTCACATATCTTCACACTCAATTTACTCCTCAAAAAGAAGGAGAAACCAAAATGATTTCCTAAGTGAATTCCATACTATATAATGGGGTCAGCAATAAAATCTGAACATGAATTCTGTTTATATCCACTTCACTGCAGATTTCACACTGGCAATGCTCCTTTTTTTCAGCACACTCTGGTCACTTACTCCTACCAGTCTGTGATTACCTTTGGTGGTTGTCGTGATGATTTCATGGTGGTCACGAGCCAACAGAGGGAGGCTGGAGCCGGGAAGAAGAGCGTGGAGAAGCTGGTCTTTGCAATGCCTAAACCTAAGGTATACTTCCTGCTTTCATCATTGTAATTATATATCTATTTTTTTCTAGTGTTACTTAATGCAAAAGTGATTTACAGAGAAGAAGTCAACAACAAAACCATACAAACAACAAACTCGCGCATGTGTCTACAGGTAAAAGTGGGGAAAAGAACAACAGCATACATACATGTGCATAAATCACAGAAGTTTCTTAGGGCGTTACCAATGTGAAGAGGCCTGACTGTAAGAGTTAAAGTGGGTTTGAATAGAATAATGAATGCTTTGAATCTGATCTATCACAATACACCCGGCACAGCAAGAAAGTGAGTACAGGTCAAGTTCTGAAAAAGTACTCAAACATATCCATTTTCACTAGTTTAAACAACTTCAGATATTTATCTGGAGCTTTAACATGTGGTCAGATTGCATTTACCTAATCAAGGTAAACATATTCAGTTGGCTTTCTTGCATTTTCTGGGCTTCCAGCTCACTAGACTCACATAAAACTCATTAATGTCATTGACTTTAGGCTGTTAAAATCTGTTTTCACTCTCATGTCAGATACTGGAGCTGACTTTGCTCATGGCCAGCTACATTAACCACTGGAACCCCAGCCTCCCATCTGCCTCTCACCAGCCCCTCAGCCACTGGGATGCAGACAGCAGGCACTTCCCAACCATGAACTACACCACCAAGGGCCCCACGCTACTGTGAATTGCGAAAATAAAAAAATTGAGAAAGACTGTTAGTAGAGGGAGGTTTGATGACAGCAGTTACTATTACTTTGCATTCATCTGGAGTGCACTGGGTTGCATGTCCTGAGTTTTCATTCTTACAGAAGAGGTACTTTTATTAAAGTTTTTATTATTGTTGTTGTTCTTATTAAGAGTTAGAATTAGAAATGTCAGGATCAGTCTTTTAGACTATTTATTTCAACACAGGTGTTTCAACTTTGCATTTCATAGGTGCTAGTTCACTTGGGAATTCAGTGTTGAAATTGAACATCAGAACCATTCCTGAAATACTGTAATGATCTGAGGACTTGATGATACTCGATGTTCCCACTTGCAGAAGTCATAATTTGTCTGCCTGTGTGTCACTAGAATTATTCATCATCAGCGATCAAAAGTAAATGACAATGAAGCACGAGTCTGAATATGATGAAGAACTGCTGCTCGTTTAGAAAGGAGCTAATGTTGCGTATTTTAGGACAGATTCATACATTTTAATCTGTTAATTACCCATAATATAATATTGGACTAATGTAGGGCGGCAAATAGCAATTAATATGGTAGATTGAAATGACTAATTCCTCAATTAACTAATTAATGAAATATTTTGTCCTGCAAATGTCAGAAATTTCAGTTGATGCCCCTCACAGATGTCTCTCTAGCAAATGGACATTTCAGATTTAGTTGAAAAATAGTCTAAAAAGTTGAAAGTTGGAAAAATATTTGACTCTTGAGTTACTGGAAACAGTGAATTGATAATATTTTCTTGCTTTGTTCTTTCACAATAAGACAAAATTGTCTTCCCTAATTACACTAAACATACAGTATATTTAAAATTACATTATTTTTAAATGAGCATCATGGAAACAAAAGGAGAGAACACTTTCTTTCTTTTTTTTAAAGAGCTACCAAAATATTATAATGACTTGAACTGTTTTGGATAAACCACTGTCTTGCTTATGTTCATAATAGCTATTTATTTCTCCATAACATTAGGAAATGTTTACCACAAATGTCACATTTGTGTGGGGAAAATGTAGTTTCCTTTGTGTTGCAGAGTACGTCTGGTTACTGTATTGACACATGTTGCAATTTAAAAGATGTAGCTTGTATGTCTGTGTGTGGTTATTAAAATAAATGATAAATTCTTCTGCTGACTTTTTTTTTAGCTCCAGTTTTGTATAAATTTTGTAATGTAGACTATTTAATACTTCAGAGTGGTAGAAAGTATTGCAACTAAGTACTTTTTTTTTTTAATTCAATTTTCAATTGTTTTATTTAAATAGCATCAAATCACAACATCAGTTGCCTCTAAGTGTTTTATATTGTAAGATAAAGACCCTGCAATAGCAAAGAGAAAACCCCAACAGTAGGCGGTAGGGTAAAGTGTCTTGCCCAAGGACACAACGACCAGGACAGAGAGCCCGGGGATCGACCCGGCGACCTTCCAGTTACAGATATGCTTCCCAACCCCCTGAGCCATCGTCGCCCCCATATATTATCTATTATAGGGCTCACTGCTAAATTTCTACATGCCTTCATTTCTAAACAAAAAAGAATATCTTTTGCACTTTTTCCATGGTGCAATAAGGCCACATGCTCTATTATTTTGAATTTATAGCAAACAATCTCAATGTTGTAGCTGTAGATGGACATTTACTTACCTTGAAAGTCTTACTGGCTGTGTGTTTAACTAGACTGTTTGCAAAGGAGGATGTCTGTACATAGTTAAAAACATTGTGTTCGTATCTGACAAACTCATCCAGAGTTTACCCTTTGCTGTTTTCTCTGTAACCTTATGTTCTTTGAAAATACACAAAGCAGGTGGTATTTCTTAACTAGTTTCTTCAGAGTGCAGTTTGGCATCCTAAGTGCATCAATTTGCTTAAAAGTAACACAGAGACAAAAAAAAGAAAAAAAAAACAGTGCTGGAGGAAGTTTGAATAACACAACAAATTATATTGTGAAGAGTAAAAATACTCAACTCAGCACTACACAAAAAAATGACCCTGTTCAAACTTATAAATATACAATAAATAATGTTACAGGGATATTATTTTCAACAGTGTGAGTCCTACATACATTTCACATCTTTGTAAAACAACACATTTAACTGGAAAAGCAATGGGAATCTACAGCACCTGCTCTTAATTTACCTCTATGGATCACAATGTCGGTACATTACAAAAGGGATCACGCAGATATTATGCAGATATGCATGCATTCTACAGATAAAGCATAATGCATAACTTTAAACCATTATAAACACTTTCAAATATGAACTTTGGACAAATGGGATAATCTCCAAATTTGTCTTTAGCTGACCTACTTACACACTGTCCAACACCACATCACATGGACCTTGTACCACAAAGCTGTTTGACTAATGTCTAATCAGACTTGCCCCACTGCTGTGTTTTCATGTTGACTTCTACCGAGTGACGTCTGAGTTCACGGTGCATGGCAATTACACCATAGAGGAGGAGGGGGGGGGTCAGTATCTGATTTTATTTTATTAATTTATTGAAGAGGTATTGTATAGTGTGTTGCTTCTAGATCCCCAAACCCCTGAAAACCACGAATAATGCTCGTGAGTGGTCTCATACTGGCGTGTACACCAGGGCTCTGACCCATCTAAATATTATAGGATTATAATTAATTTAATTTAAACGCCTGCATTTGTAATATAATCAATGCATAAAGATTTAATAGCTGCCTTTGTTTAATATAAAGCACTAAGTGCATATTAATTATCTATACATAGGATTATTTGCTTTACGTTTATCGGTGGCTGGATTATTAAACTATTCAGAGAGTGGAGAGGTTAAGTGTGGGCCCGTGGGGGGTGGAAATTACTCATTCAACTCACTCATCACATATTAGCCTAGCCTAGCCTAGCCTAGCCCGTGAGCACTCCGATAGATATCGCTGCTGCGCTGTCTCAAGCGTGGGCAGGAGCAGAGGAACCTCTGAGTCAACTGTGAGCCGCACGGGGCAGGACACCACCCAGCAACCTCACCAAAGAGCACGAAACCCACAGGTTTGTTGCGAGTTAATGAGCACCGACGCAGGTGTAATACAGCATTAACGCCACAGTAGCAGTAACCTTACAGAGCGTGTAACAGCGTTTGGCCGTGTTCTCTGTGACAGGGCATCTAAAAACACTAAAGATGACAGCCACAAAGCCACAGAGCATGCTCCGAGAAGCCTCTCGTCAGATCATCGCCGGTGGATCCGCTGGTAAGTCCAACCATGGTTTAACTTTTAATGATTTTTAGACGATTTATTTAAATTCCTTAACACTTCTGAAAGCGTGAACGTAGCGAGGTGAAAGCAGCATCGCTACACGGAAAGCACCCACGCACTTCTCCATTACTTTCTAAACGCTACTAGCAGTTTCTTGCTGTTATCCCTGGAGCCCAAAGATTTCCTTGTGCTGCCAAGATAATTCCCACCCTCCTCAAATGCTGGATTTGCACACCGGGACACAAAGCCAATTGTGCGCATGCGCGCAACTGCTAATCAACTTAGCTTTCAGCTTTAACAAATCGCTGAACGATATAAGGATGTAATTGCTGGACGAGCTTATTCAGTACCAGACAAATAAATTAGGTAAATGCTCATTTTGACATCACTGTTATTAAAAGTATAACTTCCATGCAAGTTGTTTTCTATCACTATTTGTTTTCCTTGGATGTGTAGTAGGCTAATAGTCTTGGAAATGCGCGTTATTGATTGGCTCCCACAAGGGCGTAGATTTGGTTTTGGCATTGGTGGGGACGGATGATTCAACCACCGAAACCTTCCCTGTTTCTTTTTTTACTTTTCGTCTTTCCTTTTCTTTTTTTCCTTTTCGTCTTGATAAAAAAAAAAAAGGAGAAATATACTTGCCTACATATGCTATTCTACATGCTTTTAAACCATTTAAAATTACAATTCATAGTTTTATATGTGAATTATATAATATTAAGTTACTATTAAACAAATGACTAAGTATTTTATACTTTAGTTTACTTCAGCCATATTCCATATAAATGAGATATCATACAAAAATAAAAATAGCTTAAAATACATTTATGAGAATAAAAGAATATGACTTTAAGGACTTAACAACATTACTTCAGTTATACTACACCAACATCTCTTATACATTAGCACTAAGGGAACACTGAATGACCTGGTGGTTTTTGTCTATAAAACTACTCATCTAAGATTACCACAAAGTAACAGATCTCATACCAAAATTATGCAACATTTTAGGAACACTATTGCCCCTATCAAGTCAGTGAGCTGGGATGTTTTACTCTAAACATGAACTACTGTTACAGCAACAGACATGGACTACTGGTGTCCAGAGATGGGCAGATGGGCGATTACTTTTTTCAAGTAACGAGTAAAGTAAGGGATTACTATTGCAAAAACGGTAATTAGATTACCGTTACTTTCCTGTAGGAACGCTGCGTTACTGCATTACTAAAACAGTGATTTTTTTGCGAGAATGTCTCATGACAGTGACGTAAGCAAGTGGGATGTTCATGACAACAGCTGTGTGCAGATCAACAATGGATAACATATCGAGTGTGGGAGAGAGTATGAGGTGCAGCGTTTAAAGCCTGGAAGTACTGACCTTACTTTGAGTTTGATTCCATAAAAAGTGACAAAAACATTAGTGTCCGCTGTTCACTGCATGGGAAGAAAACTTCTTTTTACAGCGAAAAAAAACCCCTAAACTTCCAAATAAGCACCGAGTGCGCTACGACGTAATGGGAAACTCACAGAGAAACTGCCTTATCCTTCCACTGACCGCTGCGGCACACCTGCACCAGGGTAAACCTCTGCCTACCTACTCCTGCTTTATAGGTGAAAATAGAGCAACAGGACCGCGGGTCTTTGACTTTATTTATTTTCTGCTGTGTTTTACTTGCATCTATTTGAAA